GACAACAAGGTGAAGGTCTGTGTGTAAAACTGATTGAGTAAACTGTGATTTTTCCCTCCCAGCCTCCTACTCCCCGTCCCAGAGCGACATCCCATCAGCACCACTACACTCACTAATACAGACAGTATGCATGTAAACTGTCAAATGTTTTCAAAAAGTGACGGGACATGTCCCCAGCGTCCCCAGTGTAAATGACACCAATGCAGGTGGGAGAAAAGACAGATTTTCTAAAGTTTAGTGTTAATCCATTTCACTCAGCCGGTTAAGAGCTGCATGAAGCCTTAGATGTTTTATGAATCTGGTCCCTCACATTAGTTCATTTCAAACTTGAGGAGAGTGACCGCCACGCAGCTGTGTTGCTGTATGAAAGGTGACGTCAGATCCCGGTCACAGGCCACGGAAGCTCCACAAGTCAGTTAAATGCTTCGCAACACATTTGTGAGGGCTGGGCGGCCAAGATGGCGCCGCTGTAACACGGTCTTTCTGTACTCTGGCAACGCTCTTTCGTTCAGGGCTTAAATTTGTTTGCCCAAAGTCAAGAAACACGTAAATATTTTTTTCCAACGTTAAGAACAATGTTTTGAGAACGGTTGGCGAAACTTTGACCCAGTTCTGGTTTATATTTCTGTGGGTTTTTTCTCCAACGAACGGTGCCTTCGTCAAGCTAACGCTATTAGCTAGCTAACTGCTGACTGTTTCTTGGATACTTTGGCGCTCCACTTTGCAGATGACAACTCATTCTGCTGAAATGTCAGATAACGGGGAGACAATGGAAGAGGAAGGTACGGTTTTACAATCTTAAACGTGTTCATGACTATGCCAAACGACAACAAGCGGACTTGGAAGAAACAAACAGGTCATCATCAGCCAGCTGACTAATGAGTAAAGTATTGTTACCTATCTTTATACCCTGTACTTTCACACAACGAACAATATACAAATTAAGAAGTTCAGCAGCCATTAAAAATAAAAAAGGTGAAATAGGACACCCTTGTGTGATCCCAAAACGGGGGGAAGTGCCATAAGGACACACAACTATTAATGTTAGTATAAAATGTACGTATGATATTTCTAAAGGTTTCTTTAAAATTCCCAAAATATTTTAAATCAATGACTCTAAAATATCCAGAACCAGACGGATATTATTGGAAATGTGCCGGCCCTTCATAAAGCCCAACTGCGTTGGAGAAATAATCTCCTCTAAACACAATTTTAACCTTTTAGCATAAAGTGCAGCAAGTAGTTTATAATCTGAATGACTGAATGACTTTTGGTCACAAATGGTATAATTAATATGGGAATCTCATAAGATCTCGGTCCCTTTATCTAAAAGCATGGTCTTACTTTTGAATGTGGAATCTATAAACTGTGAAATTGCTGATCTGGTGAAGTTGTTATGTCTTCTGGGTAATTATTCATAAAGTTAAATGTATGCAGTTTCTTCCAAACAGACACTTGTTTCATATTTGTTCCTAAAAACTTAGATTTTTCTATTGGCAGAGTGTTAAAAACAAGAAAGCTTTAAAGACATCCAATATTTTGAAACATATGATAGACAGAATTTAGCTGCTCTATTTATCTTTATATTTGTCCTGTTTGTTTGTTTTCTTCTAACCTGTGGCCTGTACTACGAAGCGGGGTAACTGGCTTATCCAGGTAACTTCAGGAGTAACTTGGTGACGTCGGGTGTAACTTCCTGATTAACCCGTACTAAATCTGAAAATTCCCTGAAATTAAAGTCACAAAAAAGCAAAACTCTGGTGTTTTCGTCTGTAGACGCCCAATCCACGGAAAGGTTTTTAAGGTGCATGATAGAGACTGTGGGCTAAACTCAGGAGTATTTCCTCACTACTGAATCCGATCGTGAAGTTTAATATAACTTTCCACTGCACATAATTGGCCTGCACGGCAGACGTGTGTGTGAGATGTTGCAGCTTTGCAAAGTGAAGCTGCTCTCATGAATGTGTGACTATAATGTCAGAGAATATTCAAGTTTTTGACCGTTTATAGTGGGTATCATGTATAGGCCTACTGCACCACTGGTTATGTAACCTTTCAGTCCTCTTCCTGGTTTTCCAGGTCAACTAGGCCGACGACATGTAGCCAAACTAAACCTTTGTTGCAGTTGCACGCAGACGGGGCTTCATTTCAAATACGTGTATCTATTTAAACTCCAAATGTACAAATATGTTGAGAACAATAATAAAATATATATTATTCCGTTCTTGAACCCTGCTCATTTCCGCACCTTTCCGCCTCCAACACCTGAGCTACCTGCGCATTTAGCTAAAGTCAGATCTGCAGCTGACAGAGAGTCCGAGTGTTTCTGTCGGTCAGCAGCTGCTCTGTAATGTGAGAGAAAACAAAAAGCTCTTGTAATGTGATAATAACAAGCTGTGATTCTGACCTGAGCTGTTTACCTTTAGTCTTTATCTTGTATTGTTTTTGTATTATTGTCTCTTGGGTATTATTGTCTTTACACTTGTTAAAGCACTTTGTAACTTGTTTTTGAAAAGTGCTCTACAAATAAAGATTATTATTATTATTATTTCCTCCACTCAGTGTCACAATATCAAATATAAAATATGTCTATAAGCAGATTAAAAGATTCCCCTTAGTCCTACCATCATCACCACTGTTAATCTCATGTGTTATTAGTCACTGCTAGATTTGACCATTATGAGACTTTTATCCTGTCTGTAATATAAAACAGGCTCTAACGTCACTTTTCCCTCTGGGGTTTTTTTTTTAGTGACATGGGCGCCATCTTGTGGAGTTTCTGTAAACTTCAGCTGAGACCCTTCGCTAAGCCCCGCCCCCCTTAGTTACTGTTGCTAAAACCGACAAACTGCCTGCGCAGCCGCAGTCTGTTAGGCTACTGCACTCCCCGGAGAAATATTGTCAGATTTGTTGGAAAAAGTGATCTCAGAAAGAAGCAGACAGTTTTGCAGTTGCATTATACATTTGAAGGTTGTATTCAGGCTGTCAGACTGACTAAAAACGGACTATCAGGGATTAAACGCTTTAATTAATAATTTAATGGGTTAATTTTCAAAACTCATAATTGTGATTTTTACTAATGGCACAATGACGTGGAATCGATGTCTGGATTTGCTCTTTTAAATAACTAGATTTAAAAAGTTACTGAACATTAGAAAAGCTCTGATATCCATTTCAAACACTATTTCTCTCAAACATTGTTCACAAATCTGTCAGAATCTGTGTTAGTGAACACTTCTCCCCTGCCGAGATAATCCATCCACCTCACAGGTGTGGCATATCAAGATGCTGATCACACAGCATCAGGTTTACGCAGGTGTGCCTTAGGCTGACCCCAATAAAAGGCCTTAGGCTGGCCCCAATAAAAGGCCTTAGGCTGGCCCCAATAAAAGGCCTTAGGCTGGCCACAATAAAAGGCCTTAGGCTGGCCACAATAAAAGGCCTTAGGCTGGCCCCAATAAAAGGCCTTAGGCTGGCCACAATAAAAGGCCTTAGGCTGGCCCCAATAAAAGGCCTTAGGCTGGCCACAATAAAAGGCCTTAGGCTGGCCCCAATAAAAGGCCTTAGGCTGGCCCCAATAAAAGGCCTTAGGCTGGCCCCAATAAAAGGCCTTAGGCTGGCCACAATAAAAGGCCTTAGGCTGGCCACAATAAAAGGCCACTCAAAAATGGGTGTGAAACAAATAGCTGTGCAAGAAGTTTCAGTTTTAATATGTGTTAGTTGTTAATTAAACAGCTCCGAGACTCCGAGTAGCATCAGCAATAGTCCAGTCACAGCTTGCATGTTTCCTCAGTGTTCAGCCTCTGTTGAACCAGTCAGCGGCTTCCAGACAGACATTTCTCCTTCACATTTCTGAGGAGTCCATGTTCAAATATTAACAAATACATTATTACAAACCACATGACTTTGTTGTCATTTCTGCAAAAGCATCTGATGCATTATATTTATTAACCCTAAATGAATAACAAGTTACATTTAATCAAAATTCACAGCCTGAGATTCTGGCTCAAACTCTCAAACTGCCCCTGCCTACAACACACACCAAGTTGTATTTTAAATTCTAGTTTAGATGGTGAAGTCAAAATATTATAAACGACAGAGAGTTTTGTATAACATTTCTTGAGAGACACCTAGAATTTTGCTTATTGGATTTACAACGAGCTACCGCACGCCATCAGAGCAGGGGCGTCCCTCTCTAACTTCAAGAAGCTCTTGAAAACTCATCTCTTCCGAGAACACTTCCTCTTATAACGCCTCTAACTCCTAACCTCTAACATGCACTTCCTGTGCTCTTCTTCTATCCCCTACAATGATCTTGTATTGATTGCACTTTTTGTTAACTCTTACTTCCTTCCCTAGGTATTTACCCCATTGATGTGATATGTACTGTGAGCTCTTACTAGTATTTATTGCTGCTCTTACTAGTATGTATTGTCAGTTGTAGATCTGTAGTTGATGCCTGTATGTTGTTCCTCAAATGTAAGTCGCTTTGGATAAAAGCGTCTGCCAAATGAGTAAATGTAAATGTCATCCCATAGTCTGTAGAAGGCCTTATCATTTGGTCTAATTAGCCTATTCCAACAATCTTCTGACGATGGTAAACAATAAAGCAAATAAGTTCTGTAACATATAATTAAGTCTAATCAAGAAGTGATGCTGATGCATGAAGGCGTTTTGCTGCTCACTTTGTTTAATCTGTGGATTTATTATTATGATGAATTTAAGGTCTGTTGCTGTTGTTGTTGGAGTCTTTAATGATTTTAACATATTTTGTTGACATTTGCTGATGTAACAATGAATTAAGCTATCACAAGAAATGATAGGCTAATAAATAATATCACGTAACTTTCAACAGGGTAAATGGTTATACACTAATAAAACTGCGTCCCAAATTACCAAACATGTTCATGAAATGAGTTTTGTGTCAACTACAACAAAATAAATAATGTACACACTTAATTTCTTCACATAAAGAAAGCAGACATCTTGAAATAGAAATATATGTTGGGTTACTTTTTTAACTTTATGACAAGAACGAGATCACAAGATAGAATTACAGAAACTGTCCCAATATACCTGAATCCGCCCTACTTAGCACCAACTGAGCGTCGTTTAAATGCAACAGCCTCCCTGAGTATTGTTGCTGACCATTCTGTCCCTTTATGACCACAGTGAACCATCTTCTGATGGCTGCTTCCAGCAGGATAATGCTCCGTGTCACAAAGCTCAAATCATCTCAAACTGGTTTCTTGAACATGACAAAGAGTTCACTGAACTCCAGCGGCCTCCACAGTCACCAGATCTCAGTCCAACAGAGCCCCTTTGGGATGAGGTGGGACGGGAGATTCTCATCAGGGATGTGCAGCCGACGAATCTGCAGCAACTGTGTGATGCTGTCATGTGGACCAAAGTCTCAGAGGAAGGTTTCCAACACCTTGTTGAAAGTATGCAACCAAGAATTAAGGCAGTTCTGAAGGCAGAAGGGGGTCCAACCCGGTACAAGCTAATAAAGTGGCCGGTGAGAGTATAGTACATAATTCAAGAGTTAAACACCTTTTTTGTACATGTGAAAATGTCCATAATTGTTACGGTGTACAGTTTGGGTTTTAATAGACAATGTTAAAAACGTTTATCTCCTAATAAAATCTGAAAATAGTCGGCTGGTCCACTTGTGATCATAGAAGTAGGGTTACAATAAAAAGAGACTTTGTTCTGTCAGAGCTTAAAAAGCAGAAAACACTCACACCTTTGTATGGGTAGGTATTCACAGTGAGCTGCTGAAAAGTAAATTTGAGAAGAATAAAAAAGACAGTTTTCACTCTAAACCCTGTTTACACATCCAGAAAGACACGTGGCAAATCACAGCAGGTGAGCGGCGACGCTTGTTTGGTTTCAGAATGTTAAACTTCAGCTGCAGAACTTCTCATTTCAACCATCACAACAGAGTTCTCTTGACTTTTCATCGTTCGAGGGTCGGCAGAGCCTTCAGCTGTCTGGTACTTCTTTTTCTTCCAAAGAAAATAGACGGTGATTCCAGTTAATAAAAGAATCACCACAGCTGCTCGCACGCCACATATGAGCTGGGAGCGATCTGTTCAAACAAACGTTCACAAGACACACAAACATTTGACGTCAAGCTGTGACAGGAGAGTTATTTTTCACTTAGTGAAGTGCTATGATTCATCTCTGGCAGGTGTGATCTGAGTGCAGGTTTTAATGGACACTATCGTGCCCGTCTCCTTACCTTCAGTGGAGGCCTGAGTTTCTGGGATCAGAGTCGTTGTTGGTTCAACACACAGGGTGTTGGTAGAAACAAGCACTCTCTGCAGTATGTGCATCCCATTGGGTAAGGTGCAGTTAGGGAATACGAAGCCTTTGGGGACACAAACACATCGCTGACTGATGCAAAGTAAAATACCAGTGTCATAATTCAAAGTAACATTTTTTGTAATGTTCTCGCTCACCACAGGTAGGTATCCTACTGACGTTATTCCTGACTGAGCAGACCAGCTGTCCTGAGACGTCTCGTTTCAGAGTGATGCTTTCACTCTCACTGTTTCCAGAAAGGAGCTGAGCGTCCGTCAGCGTGTGTCCGTCCAGAGTCCAGCTGTACTGAGGACTGTCCCCTCCCTCAGAGGAGCAGGACACCCTCATCTCTCCCTGGGACAGACACTCAGAGACCAGCTGGACAGAGGACACAGGAGCTGAAGGAAACACACTCACATGACTTTTCCTATTAAATATAGGTTACTCTACACAGGCACAGACACAGAGATACAGTATGTAGAATATGATATATATGAAGTTTAGCAACAGAATACGACATGTATGTCTATCAATGTCACTAAATTCCCCGAAGACAAAAACAGTTATTTACCTTGAATGATCAAATGTAGAGTCCGCTGCTCTGATCTCTGTCCACTTGAATCAAAGATTTCAAGAGTATATTCACCAGCATCAGTCCTGCTCAGTCTGTTGATCCTAAATGTTCCATCACTGGGAGTAAATGAGAATCTGTCTTCCACCAAATTAGACACAATCTGATTCTTTCTCCCTGCAAGTATTACTGTTCTATTGATTAACAAGAGGTATCTAAATATTTCTGAGGCGCTGTCCATCAGCTGGAGGACCACAGTTCCTCCCAAAGCTCCATAACACTGAGCTCCATCCTGTCTGCCATCACATGTTTCCACACCTGCAAGTTGTGAAATATAAGTACAGCAAGATGAACGACAACGAGATGTTAAACTCACAGAAACAGGAGGTTCACTGCAGCTGTTTCTCTCACACCTGTTACTTATTCTAGTGCAGAGAAGAATTACACAGAAATGTGTCCAGGCGTGAAGTGTAATTAAGTAAATTTACTAAAGTGAATTCCCAAACACTGAGTACTTTTGCTAAAGTAAACTTTGAGGTACTTGTACTTTACTTAATTATTTGCTATGCTACATTTCACTTCCTCTCCAATACATTCAGGAGAAAATATTGTACTTTTTACTTCACCACATTTAATTTACTTTAATTTAACAACATTAAAATGGTATTCATGTGGTCCTCAGTAATAATGCATCAGTAATAATAATCTAATAATACATACTATTATATATGATACATATGTTAACATGAAAAGCAACACTTTGAATGGGTCATTCAGTACTGCGAGTGGATTTACTTTTAATACGTTCAGCATTCAGCATCATTTTCCACACCTTAAAACAAAAGTTATTTAAAAATCCAAAAATCAACACATCAACAAATCTAGGAATGTTAAACGACCCATGTTTGTGTGTGTGTATACATATATATATATATATACTTTGAAGAAACCAGGGATTTAAAAAGAACATGGGTGACAAACAAGATATAGAAAAATATTAACATGATTATTTAATTAGATCTTTATGTTTTACTGAAACTCATATGGGGACTGTAAGTATCTCTTAATGCAGGCAGGAAAATGTTCTTGCGATGACCAAATAAAACATAAAATAAAAAAAACTTCAGCTGGTGAAAAGTCCCTCCTCTTAGTAGAACCTTTAGTTAATTAATACATTTCAGTATTAGCTTTATAACGTCTCGGGTTACATATGTAACCCTTGTTCCCCTTCGAGGGAACTCGAACTGCATCGGTGACGACACTATGGGAACTACTCCAATCCTATTGGCGTTGCTAGAACGGTAGCGTGTGACGGCGTAACTGGAGGCGTATATAAGTACGCCGGCACACCAGACACATTAGCTCTTTGCTATGAAAAGCAAGGCACTCCAGGCGGGGTGAGGTGTGGCGGACAGACGCAGTGTCTCGTTCCCCTTCTCGGGGAACAAGGGTTACATACGTAACCCGAGACGTTCCCCTTCGAGGCCGCGCCAAAACCCCCGCCTGCCCCACAGCATGCAGTAACCCGTAGGCACGACTAAGAGGAGAGTGCATGGGTGCCGGGTGCCGGGTGCAGAAGGAAGGTCAAGACTGTAAAACTGGATGAAAGTGTGAGGAGTAGCCCAGCCAGCTGCCTCACTCAAATCCTGTAGCGAAGCCCCTGCGAGGAGGGTCCTAGAGGCCGCCATGCCTCGAGTAGAGTGCGCCCTTACGGCCATAGGTGAAGGTAACCCGTGCACCTGATAGGCCAGGGAAATAGTCTGAACGATCCAGTTGCTGATCGTGTGTTTGGAAGCGGGGAGCCCAGCCTTGTGGGACAGGGGTGCAGGATGGCTCTGACCCTCCCCGGGGCAAACACCAGGCATCGAGGAGAAACCGAAAGTGCCTGGAGATCCCCCACCCTCCTCAGAGAGGTGATAGCGAGGAGAAAGGCCATCTTAAGGGTCAGGTGCTTGGCCTCAGCCAACTCCAGGGGTTCGAAGGGGGCCTCAGCCAGCGCTTCGAGAACCACTGCCAGGTCCCAAGTGGGAACCCTGGAACGAGTCACGGGTCTCATCCTCTGGGCTCCATGGAGGAAGCGCACGACCAGTGGAAGCCTCCCCAGAGGCCCATCCCTCAGAGCATGTTGTGTATGTGGCAGCCATTGCAGCCACATACACCTTAAGTGTGGATGGGGAAAGGCCAGCAGAGAAACTGGAGGAACTCCAGTACCACAGTCACCGGGCAGGTAACTGGGTCCACCGCTCCCCCTAGGGCCCCCTTGGGGCGGGGCAAGTGTGAAAGACCTGGCCCTCCGCCTGAGACACGGCGGGCCCTCTGGGAGCAAGATTATGTCCGAGAACCATACTCAGGCCGGCCAAAACGGGGATACTAACAGCAGGCTGACACTGTCCTGATGGACCCGCTCCAGAACCGCCGGGAGCAGAGCAACTGGGGGAAAAGCATACAGACGCAGCCTTGGCCACGTCTGCACCATGGCATCCAGCCCTAGTGGGGCTGGGGGCGAGAGGGAGAACCACAATGGACAGTACATAGTCTCTTGAGACGCAAACAAGTCCATGTCTATAGGGCCGAACCTTTCGCACAATAACTCCACCACCTTGGGGTGGAGTCTCCATTCCCCGGGACTCAGCCCCTGTCTCGACAGCAGGTCTGCTCCCTGATTCTGGGTCCCAGGGATATACATCGCTCTGAGAGACAACAGTCTCTGCTGGGACCACAGGAGGCTCTGATGCGGCAGTTTGCATAACGGGCACGAGCGCAGACCCCCCTGGTGAGCGCAGACCCCCCTGGTGATTCAAATAGGCCACTACTGCCGTATTGTCGGTCCTGACAATGACGTGGTGACCTCGGAGGGCGGACAGAAGACTCCTCAGAGCTCTGAAAACAGGCAACATTTCCAGGCAATTTATGTGCCAAGAGAAATGATGCTCCTGCCAGGAGCCTATCACAAAGCGGCCGTCCATGACCGCGCCCCACCCTGTGAGTGAGGCGTCGAAATAATTATTTGGCGACATGACGCTCCCAACACGGGACCCTGGGACAGGAACCAAGGTTTCCTCCATACGGACAGGGAACGAAGGCGCCGCTCGTAACCCGTATCAGACGGAGCAGATTTCCCCTCGGGGAGAATCCCTTGGATTTTAACCACCACTGCAGGGCTGTCATGTGCAGCGGGCCAGACGGGATTACGCTGGACACTGCCGCCATGAGACCCAACACCCTCTGAAAGTTTTTCACAGTGATGGTGCGGCCTAGCTTCACTCTGGTCAGAACCCGATACTGGTACGCCGCGCCCCCGAAGGCGAACCTCCGAACCTTCCTGTGAGAGGGACGGCTGGAGATGTGGAAATATGCGTCTCGCAGATCTATCGTGACAAACGTGACAATCTATCGTGATGTGACTGACGATGGCGGGGATGGTGAGCATCTTGTACCTGAATCTCCTCAGAGATTGGTTCAGGGACCGCAGATCCTTTTTGGGAACTATGAAGTACCGGCTGTAGAACCCCGACTCCCTGACTGGCGGGCGAATAAGTCCTGTGGCCCCCTTTTCCAGCAGAGAGTGAACTTCTTGTCCCAACACCTGGCTCTGCCCCACATGCACTGCAGTCCAGACCACCCTGTTGAATCTGGGGGGGGGACCAGAAAATGCAGCCTGTAGCCATCCACTACGGTGCGCAGGACCCACGGGGACATGTTTGCAAGGCTCCGCCATTCTTCTGTGAAATCTGCCAAGGGAACCAGCCCCTTGGGCCTGGTGGCCGATGCGTAGGTCCCCGGCAGCACCCTGAAGCAGAGGTTCGCAAGGGAAAGACAATCCACGGTGTGTGAGCCAGAACGCCTCCCTACTGTGGCCCCTCGAGGCAGGCAGAACGGCGCGTGCTCGCAGGAGGCTAGAGCATCAAGAGCATCGACAAGGCGGGATAGCAGAGCCTGCTGCCTGAGCTGCCACGAGGGAGGGGACCGCGATCGCCCTCTCTCAGGGGGGGTGAGAGCGCCGCCTCAAGTCCCGGGTGTGCTGAGGGAGATCACGATAAGCGACACTCTGCCTCAGGCTCTGGCAGTAGTAGCTGGACGAGCATGTCACGTGACATGGCTTGGTGGGCAGCGCTTGCTCTTTATGGGACAACGCAAGACCGGGCGAGAGATAGCTGGCCAAAGCATCCTCAACTCGGGGCATTGTCCCATAACCGAAACCCTTAACCCCCACAACGTCGCTGTAAACCCGGAGCAGGGGAGTAGTCAGACGTACTGAGAAGTCAGACGAGGAACGGGAAAAGGCCTCTGCAGTCCCGATGCCCTCGGAGATGTCGCGTTGGGAGCCCCATGACCGAAGCTGCCGCGCCGCCTCAGCAACCGCAGGACCCAAGCCACGGGGAGAGCGCATCCGGCCGTCTTCGGAGAAAAGAGACGCACGAGAGCCCCGCAGGGGCAGGGCCTGCAATGGCCACAAGCAGCCCCTCGAGAGCTGCCTGGGCATGCGGCATCCCCAGACAAGACACACACAGGGTATGAGTGTCCCCTGTCGTGATATAGCACGGGCATGGGAAAACACACTGCCTGAACTGCTCACCAGCCATCTCCTCTGCCAGGCTTCCTTCCAGGTAAGAAATTTCCTCTCGTGGTTGTACTTCTTTCGTAGTCTCAAACATGCCAGAGTGCCTGCTGAATAGAAAAAAGCTAATGTGTCCGGTGTGCTTATATACGCCTCCAGTTACGCAGTCACACACTACCGTTCTAGCAACGGCAATAGGCTTGGAGATAGTGTCGTCACAGACGCAGTTCGAGTTCCCTCGAAGGGGAACTGAGTTTCCTTTTTTTTTTTTACTGAGTGAGATTAAAATAAATCTTTCAGCTTTTGATCATTAATGATCAGGTCTATGTGCTTTTAATTTCTTTTACTCTTGTATATCTTTTGTATCTGTTATTTGTAGCTTAAGTGGAGTTTTATAAACTAGATTCGGGAACAAAGACCATGCCCCGAACTCGCCCAATTTCCACACGACAAGTATTTAAGCACACCATTTCCGTTCACCTGCCCTTGACATCCCTCCCACCCAAACCCCTTGTCTCCCAACCCATCTCAAACTCTACAAACAATAAACTTTTTAAACTCACATCTTGCAGCCGTGGTCTTTGTTAGTGAATTTCAGTTGTAGGAAAAACAACTGCTTGAATTTACCCTCATATGTAAATAGTATTTGTAGACAAGCCATTTTGAAAAGAAAGCTGACTAAGCCTATTCATTTATTTAAAATGGGTCAGTGTTTAAGCAGGAAATCACATCACTGAAGAGGATGTCAGACTGTACATTT